ATAAAACGTTTTTTCATCCAGTATATGTGAGTATAATTTTTTTTTTCATATTTTGCATATTTTTAAATTTTATAATTTATAGTGCATATTTTAAAGCATATTTCACTTGTTTTTAGTGCATATTTTAAAGCATATTTCACTTGTTTTTAGTGCATAAATGCATGCATATTCAAGACTTTTTTAGTGCATGAAATTCACAGCCCTGCTTATAACACATCCTGACAAATCGTTTCCGCTCGGAATCGTTTTTCGAATTCAAATTTAACACCATCCATTACAATGACCCACTTGTAACCTATGGTACAGAAGAGCGTCAACTATTAGCCAGCTTTTTTTTATTACCTATTATACTTAGTACAGTTTTGAAGTTATTAAAACATGTTTTTTTTTTTTGTCACATTTTATGTACTTTTATTGGGTCATTAACATCGTATCTTTAGCAACAGAAACTTATTTTGATGGGGGACAAGTCAACATTGTTGCCTGGGAGTGGCAAATTTTTAGTTCATTTAGAGAGTGGTAAACTTACATTGGCATATTATTATTGGTTATTAATTGTATCAAAATAAAAAATATTTTATTTTATTAAGCTGCTAAGAACGCCGACGGAGACGAACTACGGCGTCTCGATATCGCGGACAAGGTGTCATTTCTGAATCAGCCAATCCCGTGGATGCGATAGACGTCAACGTCATCTCAATTGCATCGCTTGCCGAATTTGTCTGCACTGTTATGTTAGACGTCGATTTACATCGTCTGTGCAGCTGCAAACTCTCCAGATCACTTCTTTCCACCGCTTTCGGGCGATTTTCCCAGGAATCGTTGAAAGCCCAAATCATTGGATCAGTTTTGGACAGCCGTCCGATCTCAGGTGCCTCGTCTGCGGAAGTTGAGAGCAATACCATATAATTAAGAGTCGAAAAAAATCGTCTGTGCAGCGGCAAACTCGCAACATCACGGTCGTCCAATGATTTTGGTCGACTTTTCAAATCAAAAACTTGAAGCATCAATTCGGTCTCGGGCTGGATCTTTACGTCCATACATTTGCTTCGGTTCTGCGATATGCGAAATATTTATCTGATATATATACACAGTCAATATATTATGCAAAAAGTAAGTACGTCATAACTCTCATTGACTGGATTATAAATTATTGAAGAAATGTATTTTGTATCAAATAGGTACTGAGAACCGTCAACTGAATACTGTGACTGAGATATACGAGTTATAAATATACTTCAAACACTTTTGATGTCCATGGCAGAGAGATTTTAATAATTTTATGTAAATCGGAAACGTATCTAGATTTTTTAATTTTTATACGATATTTTTTAGATTTGATTATTATGATTTTGTCTTAATAAATTGTCATTAATTCATTACCTAAACAATACAATTAAGTGTCCCAATAATTTCACATAGGAGAAGCAAGTTTATTTATTGTCTATGGCACATGCGAATATTGTATTCCTCTTAGAGCAATATTACAATATTACAATATAGCAATAATACAATATTACCGTACAAAGATTCTGCTGAGATTTAAACCTAAAGAGCATTGATATTTAAGTTTAGGTGAAAACAAAACTTATTTTCCAGATAAACAATTATACCGAATAAATATAATGCTATACGATAAGTGTATTAATCAGTGAAAAAAATAAATGTCATTAAAAAATGTTTTTACATATCAACCAATAATATAGAATAAAATACTATACTCTCAATTATACCACTAATATATAAAATTATTATTTAAAAAAAAATACAAGTAAAATTGAATGGTTAGGACCTAATCAAATAAATAATAGGTTTGGTATACTGCTTATAGTTTATACCTACCTAACATTTTTATATTCAAGAAAATTAAAAATTTATGGTTGAACATCCTACTCGTTCAAGTCATTAGTCATTGTTAAAGTAATTAATTCCATAACTTACGATATCTTAAGTACTTTAGTTATTATTTATTATTATGGACTAAAATATCTGATTTTAATGCAATTCGTGATAGCCAAAAGTCTCATTGGATTAAATAAATCAACAGGTATTACTGAAAAAAGATTAGCTTCATACTTTTATTCATTATTCAGTTATGTATTATTAGATAGATAAGTATAGTTCATAAAATAATATTATTATTTTATTTCTCTTTTTGTAATTTATGAAGACACTCTAAATTACTAAACTACCGAATAATACGTACTACAAAGCATGCATGTAAAAATAGTATTTATTTAAATTCAGCAAGGTCCTCCTGCTCATTCTATTAGAGTGATAGTTATTGAAACTTCAATCGATAACGGCGATAGCGTAATATTTTATTAAATTAATAAATTATATTTTTTTAACGGATCATATTATATGGAAACAGTCGTCTTTATAAGTAGCCAATTTATCTTTCGTACCTACATAGTAATGTAAAACTGTTAATAATTATCACGTCATACACTCTTAAAGTCTTAACCACCTATAATTATATAGTAATGCAATAAATAACATACTACAACATATAAATGTTCTAAGCATTTCAATATTTTATAAAAACTAAATATATCTAATAATTAATATATGGTTTAAACGATTTCATTTCATGCCAAACGGTCAAAACAGTATTGAACGTGTATTTAAATATTATATAAATATATATATTGTAATTTATAATATATTTATATATGTATTTATATAAATGTACAAGTACATAGGTACAAATAATGTACACAGTTCAATAATATATAAGATCAAAAAAAAAAATATATTGATTTAGGTTTCGTATTTAAAAACAAATAATTCTACAATACCTGTGGTTATTTTTGATAATCAGTGAACAACTCGAGTTTATTGATATAAAGTATAATACCTCTATAATAATACTCCCCTTTAATCTGTACAACGTTATCTTTTTGTATAAATATTACGGACTTACCGGTTTATACATCTTACGTTTAAAAATGTTATTTGTTATTCGCTAAGTACACAAACACGTAATAATATTTTATTAATTTATTATGATGTACGGCATCGTCAATAATTTATCAATGTAGACTTTTAAATGTGCTGCTCATTAACGCAGTTGCGCATTTTCGAACTCATTCACTATACGGTGACATGAACATAATATTATTATTATTATTATTATCAGTAAAATATTTTATAAAACATTATATGCATAATATATAGGTACGCATTATGCATAACGTGCAAGAACCATCGTCAGACTAATTTATTGCATACGTTTTGCCGGTATATTGGGTAATAAAAATATATCACGTCTTAGATATCAAACAAATTCCCTTTTTGGTATGTATAAATAATGGTGTATAAGTAATTGTGATTAATAAATATAATTATTAATCTAAACGGCACGAACACATAAATAGTACCGACGCCGCCACAACCTTTACCAATTAAATGTACTCAAAATAATCTTCAACCTAATAATACGTTTAATGTATATTCAGCAATAACCTACGAATAATTTATTGTAAAAACAATACCTAAGTGTAATATATAATTAGTTTCATTTTATCGTTAACTTTTCACGATTTCGTGCCAATCCTAATTAGGTATTGTAAAAAATCCATAATATGCATGTACGTCCCGGGATCACAGTTCGTTGAGAGGCTCGTCGGGTATAGTCATAGCCATTAGCCATCAAATAAAAAATATATGATGTCTATGGCTATAGTGGACTCACATTAGGTGCACAACCGGAGTGTGACTATAACAAGTGAAACTTTTTTGCATCTAATTAAAAATTGTTTAAATAAAGGCAACAATTTACAAACTTTTTTCCTACTTACCGCCCACCCATATTCTCGCCATTCAATAATTGACTCTCACTGCATTGCTCTGTTGCTCAATAATAGTATGCACACCACGGCGATATTTTATTTTGCATATCAATTTTGGATTTGACCTATTTAATGTATTCCCGTGCTATTTTGTTACTTTTAGGTGTTTGTACTTTTTTTCAAATACTTTTCATGTTCTAACAACTGCGATTGTTTTGAAAATAAATCATTTTTAGAATGGAAATATTAAAAAAACAAACAATACACAATAAACACGTAGAATTGTAGAACAATAAATAAAATAATTGAATAGTAAAAAATATTTGTACAATGTACATAATATTACAACATTATACCAACATTATACCAGGGATTCTCAAACTTTTAAAAACACTGTACCCTTTGTTATCAATACATTTTGTTGAGTACCCCCTTCTTAGTTACTAAACTAAAATATGTATAAAAAAATTTCAATACTTTTAAATAATCTTTTCCTTGTTGGTTTGTCGGCCAGACTCGTGCCCCTTAAAGCATTTCGAGTACTCCCAAGGGGTACGCGTACCACAGCTTGAGAATCCCTGCATTATACTAAAATGGACACATAAACGTCTATTGAAAAATGTTTTAATTTTAAATTCTCGAACACAAAAACGAATTAATTATTTTTCAAATATTCTTATGACAATCACACCAAACATAATATTTTAAAGTATATTTTGCCCGTTTAAATGTATATTTTTTTCTTACAGTTTCGCGGAAAGCTGCTGCAGATCGAGACCACAACGTCGTACCTGCGGAGGTGTAGTAAGTATTATACGTACACGTGCCCACTGTGAACTTAATTATTGATTCAGTTTACGTACGTTTTTTTTTTTATTCTGCTGAATCCCGTACATTGTTCTATAGGTAGGCCATGCTGTTGCGGATGCGATACGTCCCAGGCCGTCAAATCGAAGCGAAATATCGATTATATATTTCGGGCGGCGGCGGCGGTGGCGTTCGTTTTAATTCGTCAAGGGTCATTTGGCACCGCTCTGACTTTGAATGCGTGCGTGTGCGTGCACCACCTATTTGTAAGGGCCGACGTAATATATACATATAACAACAACGAAAGTGTATAATACTAATAATAATAATAATAATAATAATGATATTCCCCCATGACTAATTGCCGTTTGACTTTACGGTCCGCGGATGTGTTTAATACGGATATAATACAATAATATTATAATATCGTACACGCGTCGTCGTATATATATATACACGGAGGTGCACCCAAATACACTGTATATACTGTATATGTACTGTATATATATATATATTATATATTACGAAGGAATATTATTATTTATTATCGTGTGCGATAAAATAATACATCGGACGTATCGCCGCCGTGAAAATAATTTGTCGTGCACGCGACCCGCGCCGCTGCGCAGCGATAAAAATACAATTATTTGAATTTATTATGTTATGTGCGTTTAATAAAAATAATAAAACGTTTATAGACCGTATTATTTATATATACATATATTGGTACGACGCGCGTATATAAATATTACATTGTATGTATATAAGTATGAATGTATGTATATAGATCGACGGCGGTCCTCCCTTATTTTATATTATATTATACAAGTATTGTTTCGCCATTATAATGTTATTATCATCACTCGAGTATAATGCACGGACGCTGCCCACCCCACCGCCAACCCCCACCCACACCCCCACGGTTGTCGGGCGCACGCCTTTGCGTGCAGTAGTCGTTCGTATAAAATACGGCCGAGAACTGACCCCAGCGCCGAATAAAAATAATAGTTTTTAATGTTTTATTAAAAACGCTAATCGTTTTCGTACGCATCGAAACGCCTACGGTTGTTAAGTCGTGACGAAACGTGTCCGTTCGAAATTCGGTTCCCACGTTGCGGGGACCATACGTGCAGATATTATTATTATTATAATGCAATATAGAAAATCAATTTGTGGATGATTTTTTTTTGATTTTCCCCGATGTTATTATAAATTTATATCTGAATTTGTATTCTATTGCCGTAATCGGCTTGTCAATGTGTTTTAAACAGACTGCGTTCCTTTTCGACAGCTAATTATATTATTTATTAATCTTCCATTAGGTACCTATATATTTTCTTGGAAATACACGTTTTAATAAATTAAGTTTAAGTACGTAAAGGGTTTAGACTTTAGACCAGTGTTGAGACCAGATAATAACAAATTTATCTAGATAAATATGAAAAAAAATTGTTTTATCAAAATAAAATAAATTTATAAAAATACAAAACGTAATCTTTTTCAAGGATAAAATTCCGAATATTTTTGTTCAATTTGTTTATGCTTGCGGCGCTTGCGCCTATACCTTAAGAATAAAACACAATGTATAATACAAACAAAAATAATAACTTAATACTTGTACAAATTAATAAATATGATAATTGTAATTCAAAACATTCAATATGGTGTACCAACAAATCATAATGTATTAATAAAATTGAGTCCCTTTCTGTATTGTAGCAAAATAATAATAATAAAACAGTTGAATAAATTAAACAATCTGAATAAATGTGTATATCTATAAATAAGGGAGATTTTTATCTTAGATATAACTATTTGAATGCTATTTCTCCATATATCTATAGATAAGATATAAAATCAAAAATGAATATTATAGATAAGTCTCAATGTTCCTTATTAGAACTGGACTTCAACGATCGTAAAATAACTGAATTATAAAAACGACGAATATAATATTGTAATATTGCATATGTACAAAATAAATGTCTAATTTGAAATTATTGAAAACCCATAGCCTATATTAGTATATTATAGGTAATAGAAATACAACAAGTAAACTTGGTTCAATATAGGGACAACAAAATGTATACAAAACAGAGACTGTATTTTAAAAAACAATTAAAATATAGATGGCACACAGTAGTCTGAAGTGGGAAACTTTAATTTTACAATGTGAGTATCTATGACTCACGAGCATAGTAACTGTAATAGTGTAATATACTAATATGTATAATAATAATATTATTATAATTTATTATTAAATCTCACTGTTTTTTTTTTTTTTAAATTAATTTGGCCTTGAAGTTATAAACGTACCGATTTAGAATAATGTATAACAATAAATAACACACGTATACATAGTTTTCATTTTTCAGGGACAAAGTCTTTTTTTGCCATTGGATTAACGGCAAAAATGTTTGCCTTGAGATGATTATGATGATTCTTTTTGGTACTATATTTTTCATATTATTAGTCAAAAAGAGATAACCTATTTGACAGTTTTTTAAACATAAATTTAGTTTTTAATTATTCAATGTGCGTAGAGTGTTTTTTTAATAATCCTCAATAAGTGATGTATTATAATATGAGTGATGAGAAAACATTTGTAGGTACCTACGGTACCGTTTAATGCAGGCCTGCAGGCTTACAAACTATCCCAATAAAACATTTTACAAGCTATGGAAAATAATACAAACTGATACATTTTTGGTAGATATATTATAATTATTACAATGCAATATAATTTGTTAAAAACATTGCCTTTAAAAAAAAATGTACCTTCATCGCTTACGATAGTCAAATCCAATAAGTAAACGGTTCGAAATAACGTTTATAATACAAAAATAATGTATTTATACTCGACAAACGCAATCATTTTTTTAACTGTAACGTATAATATACAGATATTGTACTGTGTTACTTTAAAGTACAAAATCTAACTTGATTTCATCGAGAACTTAATGGTGGAATATTGAAATTCTACCAGACACAAAGAATATTCCAAATAAATTCTATGTATTTTCCTAAGTCTCTTTCTAATCACTCCAAAATAATTCAAATAATAATCAACAATTAAATATTTTTATAATAATAAACTAAAAATCATGAAATGTATTTCAGTTGTTATACTATAACGTGACAGACACAATTGAAGATTAAGAGAATGCTACGTTTGTTGTCTCCGTCTTATCAACTTACGATGTAGCGAATTTTCGTTCACTAGTTTGAATAGTGTGTCGTTAGTTTTGATATTAGAGTGAATTTAAATATTATCAAACTTTTAGGTAAGAACATTATCTATGCTTAAGAGTCGGCGAATTTTTGATATTTTCATTTTCAAGTAAGATACGAGTATATATGAATTTAACACAAATCAAAAATGCTCATATCTCGCTTGAAAATTAAAATATCCAAGAATCCTCCGACGATTAAGCATGGATAATGTTCTTACCCAAAACTTTGATATTAGGTTCATTCACACTAATATCCAAACTAACAGCACGTTATTGAAACTAGAGAACGAAAATGTTCTATATGTCGTACGCGTGTAAGGCGGAGACAACAAATGCATGCGTAGTGTTCTCTTATAAGACATTACCTCTTTATAATATATTGCATTATATTAGTGTATATTATTCATTAAGTTAATGCAGGTTAAAAAGATTAATAAATTATTAAAAAAAAAAATGATATTAATAATACGAATAAATAACATTATATATTTATAAATCTACCAATACAGTTAACAGCATGTAAACGAGTCGCTTACTCGCTTCAGTATAGTATCAATCAATGTTCCGTTTATTCTGTCGTGTATTTTTTATCGCGATATTGAAATATTTTAACGTTCACCCGTCGTAATATTATACAATAAGCCGATATGTCCGATGATTATAAAATACAAATTATTGCCTGCACCGAACTACATTACCTCCACCCGTCAAAATGAACGGGCAACGCCGATGAATGAGTCTTCATATAGGTCAGGAGAGTTACAATTAACAAACTATTTTGCTCTACAATTAACAACGAGACATAATGTTTCATATTATTATTGCTCAACAATAGGTACCTAACCCTCGCCCGTTTTCCGATTACCCTTGCACACCGCGCCTGGTAGAATGAGACATTTTTGAAATCGTCTCATATTTATTTAAAACTCGTGGAAAAGGGGATCATTTCTTTTTTACTTCCCCTGCCTCATCAAAGAACATTCAAATAAAATACCTATGCTATACACATAAAAAAAACCTGAGAAGTGGCCCTTATATAGTCTCATATATTATACGCTGTAATCGTATAGGTATAGAGTAGGCCGGTATATCTCGCCATAGTTTGCAAGATATTTTTAACTACTTATATATATATATGTATATATAGATGCCAATAATGCTACAAAGGCACAAACTAGTTAGGAAGTATGAAGTTAAATGAAGAGTTTACTTTTGTAATTTTGCTGGTGACTTTGAACTTAACTAATTACTTTGCTTAGGAATTAGAATTTTTTCCGATTTCGTCACCGGCCATCGACATATCAAACAGGAAGTAAATTTTACAACCACACATTTAATATTTCTGGGCTCGTCAAGACGTTGATACAGCTAGTATTATCATCAACTTCAATAATACAATCGTCACCCGTATGGCACCAATAACACCAATTATAGGTGTGTGAAAAACATAATATTATCGTCCTACAATATTGATAACTATAATAGTTATGAATTTAATATATGTATTATGGAATGTAGGTACTCCACTCGCTTAAACTTCGATTAAAAGAGTTATACTTTATACGCATAATGCTTATTTCTGAGGTGTCAACTAGAACTTACGTATTGATACGTTCATCAGGCAGTTTACGTCGAAGACGAAAGAAGTATAGCGGCGTGTCCGCTATGCACAATAAACGGTTCTAGATGTTTCCAATAACATGTTTGACAACATTACATTGATGTAGGTTTATGAGCAAAATTATTATTATTTTTTTTTAATTGCATTTTAAAAAGTCATTTTGTGAAAAAGTTAAAACCAACATTATAGCCTTATTTACACGCTCAATACGCCGTGAACACATTATGAGTGAAATGTTTTTTTTTCCTGTACTCTTACAAATATATTCACTGTAAGTAAAAAGAACAATTACACATTTGATAAATCAAAACTTTTATGTCCATCGGCTAAAAGCGTTTTTCAAGTTATATTGATAGGTACATCAAAAATTGATATTAGTTGTAACTAAACGTAACGCCAGCGGATTTCAGGTTATCATCTATTACTTTATTTAAATCAACACAATTTATAATATTTAAAAAGTTGACGGTCTTTTCTTTTCGTGTTTGAATCGTTTTACCGCTCTTCGAGCTAACAATTATAATATACACATGTTCTAGCCAAGCGGGCCAGTGTTTTCATATATTTCAAGAACACTTCCTTTTTAGTTTTTTCCTCTTTCCGAGTGGTTTTTT